TGGTTGACCCTGGCTCCAGCACACTACTGAACTAGAAACTTCTCTGGCTTGGAGCAAGCTACAGGGGTCACCAAGGCCGTGGTAGGTTCAACCGATCACTTCTTGGTCCCAGGTCCTTTCAAATTAAACTCACGCGCATGTCTCTCTTTTGTAATTCGCTCCCCTCACAGACAAACTCTGCGGTAGCGCTTAGCCTCCCCAACCTACCCTCCTCCCTTGCTGCCCGCCAAACAAGTTCATAGGACATTTTTTGTTTAAAGATTTTTGTTTGTTTGTTTCAAGATATTTAAAGAGAAAATTATAACATTTCCAGAAATCGCACAAAGTCCTCATCTCGGGGGGCTCAGGAAGCCCTCTCAGCTCACTCTGGACGAGTGGTGGAACTGCCCCGATGGCCTGCAGGGCTGGCCGCCGGCTCCCTGCTGCGATGAGGGGGTTCCCAGCACTCTGGAGTGGTTCTGTCCGGGATGGCCCCCATCTGGCCTTTCTAGATGAGGGAGGAACTTCCTGGTAGCCTTGCTAGACGCCATTGCTATTGTGCCCACTGTGACTCAAATCCCGTCTGAGGGCGTGGCCCTGTAGGCTCAGCTGCCCATTTCCTCACCGTTCATGGCTGATCTCCAGGCTCCTGCCTAGGCTGGCCCTGCCCTCAGGGAAACTTAGTATTTTGACCTGCCTGCGAACTAAATTTCAGAGGGCAGGCTGGGCAGGAGCAGCTGTGCAGAGCAGAGAGCGATAGGCAAATGTGAGGGTCCTCAGAGGTGGCTGCCCTGGCTCTGTTCTGTTCAGGAGTTGCCGCAATAGAACACAGGCCCAGTTTCCAACTCTTCCCATGTTTCCAGAAAAGCCAGCACAAATCCAGACTTTTACGTGAAGTCTTCTAACTTGTAAATGTTGCGTATAATGTATAGAAATTTTGCGTGAGCCAAATCAAACGTCTCTGATTGGCTCTTGTCCTACAGGCTGCTGACCACACCACCTGGTTGTAAGCTCCTTCCTGGGCCTTTCTCACGTCGCCCTTCCAGAGCTCTCGTGCTTGTCTGCCCCAGACCTCTTCTGTCTTAATCGTCACATGTTGGAACTCATGTTGGGTCTTTATGCTGCTTCAGGGCTTTTGCTTTATCCAATTTCCCCCCCCTTAACAGAGGCACTGGGAATGGAGCCCAGGACCTCCAGCCGCTAAGCCCTCACTCTACCACTAAGCGATACCCTCTACCCCACAGTTTCTAAGATTCTTGGTCTTTGCTGCGGGTGGGAAGTGTTCATGGGAAGCTCT